GGCGCCCGTTTAGATTTCAACTCTTTTGTCAGCGAAATACCAGCGTCAAATAGCAGCTTAACGCTGCTGTGTTTCGTATGGTGAGTGTAGAGAACCGGAGACCCTTTTTACTGGAAATGAGGCATTACATCTTAGTCCTCACGGGTGGCAACGCATCTGCATTTTGATTAATAATAATCGAGGATAGATGTAGATGTCTATGGGCCACAGCAAACATTTACCATTAGGTGGAATGTGTGTTCATTTATCACCCTTATGCTATAAAAAAAATCGAACAAATGCGTGACGGTCAACGTTTTTTCTTTCGTTTATGCTTCTCCGTTTTCTATTTTTAATTGAAATTAATAAGAAAATAATTTTACGTGGTAGAGCCATGCTGCAGCTAAATCAGTAGTATAATTGTTAGCACGAATGGGTCGGCTCAACCGGGGAAGGACCACGCTCTCACAGAATACCAGCGTAAAGTAGCAGTTTAACAGACTGTAGAGAACCGGAGACACTTTTTACTGGAAAAGAGGCATTCCATCTTGGTCCTCACGAGTGACAACGCATCTGCATTTTGATTCGTAATCGAGGATAGATGTAGATGTCTATGGGCCGTAGCAACCACTTACCATCAGGTGGACTGTATGCTCGTTTGTAGCCCTTATTCTATAAAAAGAAAAAAAATATTATCTAGGTAGTCACTAGGTCACGCAAACGCGTCATGACGATGTTAAAAAAAACAGTACAGTAAAAATATGTTTCATGCATGAAAATACATAATATAAACGTGACTTAGGACTTGAGGAACGAGCAAATGCATTTTTTTTGGATCTATTCATATGAGTTGATTTAAATTTCGTCGGGCAAAATTAGATCGTGAAAAATTCCATAAAATATCAAGAATATGTTAAAGTTACAACATATATAACATGTAGCAAAAACCCTCAGGTTCCCGTGAAGTGCGTTATCAGAATTAGCATTCAAACTTATAGAAAACATGACCATAAAAAAATTAAAGAGCGGTGAAACGCAAGGAGTGTTCTTAGAACTTTACTTTGAGGAGTAAGACTGTGATAATTTGAGATTTTCAAGCGTATCTTTAGAGCTGGGGCGGCATCAGAGGCAGCTGAACTAAGAAAGTGGCACAAATATAAGCCTCTGAGAAATGACTACAAATTGCCATTCTATCGGTGCCAGACTATCGGTCCGTGAGATCCACGTGCGGTGAAGTTCCTAAAGAAACTGTGTCCGTGACTAGTGGTCGCTGCTGGTGATAGGAGGGCTGGTTCTTTCTTTGCTCAAATGCTAAGTATAGCCATTCAGCGAGGAAACACAGCCAGCGTTCTTGGCACAATGCCACAGGGAGCAGGACTGTATGATAATTTAAGTTATTTGTTTTAGTTTCTCTTTATTAAAGTTTTTTTTTTTTAATATTGAATATATTTCATTAGATTCAAACAACTTAAATCTCAGATCCTATATTTGTAGTCACACTTTCTTGTATTATACTCGTATTTGAATGTAATAACATATAAATTCAATTTATATATTACCGTATCGATACTCGGTTCGACCAAGGAAGAACCACTTTTTAGAAACCAGCGTAAAAGAGCAGCTTTATGCTGCTATGTTTCGTATGGTGAGTGTAGAGAACTGGAGAACCTTTTTACTAACAATGAGACATTTCAATTTAGTCCTCCGCAATGATGGGAATGAGCCGTGGTAGCTGAGATCGTTAGCGCTCGCTGTAAGCTTCACAGTACGCGAGCAACCCGGTTTCTATCCCCGCCGGCACCAATGAAATTAATAGAATCAGGCGATACTTTGCGGAAGTCCATTATATTAAAGTTGACAAAAAATACTTTGCGTACATCCGCTCGATAACGACAATACGACACAGAGCACCTCTGTGTCGTATTGTCGTCAATGGTGTCAGAGGTGCTCTTCAAACTAGGTAAGACACATCATTTTATTTTATCGAGCGGATGTACGCAAAGTATATTTTTGTCAACTTTAACCAATGAAATTGTTAATTGCAATTTTAAGTGCTGATTTACCACGTGCTTGGCAGTACAGAAAACATCGTAAAGAAACCTGCATGTCTGAAAATTAAGAAAAAATAATAATTCGAAGACATGTGAAGTTCGCCGTGGGCCACAGCAAAAACTTACCATCAGGTGGACTGTGTGCTTGTTTGTCACCCAAACTCCTATAAAACATCCTTATTTCATCACGTGGGTGTTGTAAGAAGAAAACGCTGTGGGACTTTGTTTGACTACACGTATGCCAATCGTATTTTTTTTAAGAGGTGGCTGAGGGAAACAAATAAGGAGATGGGCAGCAGCGTCTTCCTAATAACGACTAAAAATAAAAAAACCTGCGGTTGCCAACCCGCTTGCCAAGCGTGGCAACTATGGCAAATATCCCCCTTATGAATCTCTATGGGGAAGGCCTATTCTGCAGAGAACTTTAACAGGCTGTAATGGATGGATGTATAGAAGATAATCTACCAGGAGCACATGACCCACTGAGAGGTGAAATTATTAAATCAACAGTAACATTACACCTATGACCAAATCCCCCCTATTAGGCAATCTATGGGGGAGGCCTATGATCACCAGTCGACTTTTACAGGCTGTAATGGAAGTATGTATAGAAGATAATCTACCAGGAGCACAGGACCCACTGAGAGGTGAAATTATTAAATCAACAGTAACATTACACCTATGACCAAATCCCCCCTATTAGGCAATCTATGGGGGAGGCCTATGATCACCAGTCGACTTTTACAGGCTGTAATGGAAGTATGTATAGAAGATAATCTACCAGGAGGACAGGACACACTGAGAGGTGAAATTATTAAATCAATAGTAACATTAGAACTATGACAAAATTCCCCCTATGAGGCAATCTATGGGGGAGGCCTATGTTCTGCAAAAATATATACGGTATAGCATATAGCTCGAAGAACCGAGAATCGATTGGGCAGAAAGGTTATCGAGTGACAACCTCATACCAGTAACCGAGTAGGACGACCCTCTACTAGATGGAGTGACAACCTGGTAAGATAGGCACGAAGTCGATGGATGCAGATAGCTCAGGTCTGTGCTCTGTGGCATTCCTTGATGGAGACCTTTTTTTCAACAGTGGTAGAGCCACGCGGCAGCTTTTGATGTCGCACGGATGGGCCGGCTCGAACCGGGGTGGTACCACGACCTCACAGAAAACCAGCGTGAAGTAGAGGTTTACCTCTGCGTATCGCTTGGTGAGTGCAGGTGGCCGGAGGGCCTTTTTACTGGAAATGAGGCATTCCATCTTAGTCCTCCCGGGTGACAACGCATCTACATTTTGATATGTAACAGAGGATAGATGTAGATGTCTATGAACCACAGCAACCACTTACCATCAGGTGGACTGTCTGCTCGTTGGTTACCCTTATCCTATAAAAAAAGACCTATGTTCGGGAGTGAACGTGTGAAGGGCTGTAATGATGATATGTTTTTTATATGTTTGCCATTTATTATATAGATTATAGCCTCAAAAATACTATAACTGATACAGAAAAGTTTGCAACTCTATGCTGACCGGCATCGAACTCACGTCGCTTATATGAAACAAACACCCATGTGACCCAAACTCCAAGCGACTCGGGCTCTAAAACTCTCAAATACACGTTTACGTCTGCCGCTTATACTGACTTGATATTTATTTGTATATTAATATAATGTATTCAGCCGAATATGTAATAGGTTACAAAATTTGATTTAGATGTTCGCACACCAGCTTACCCGCACAGAATCAACACAACAAAACAAGACTTACCTAAAGTTTTTAATATTATAAACTAACAAGCTAAGAAACACATTCAAATAATTTTATTTTAGGCTCATATTTTTAGGATATATGCCTATATTCATAAACAATGGATTACAAATTAAAAAATATATAATTAATTGTAATTATTGTGTACCGGGTAGTGGCGGTGTAAGAATAACTTACCTACTACGCCACATCATCCCGTGGATGTCGTGAGAGGCGACAGAGGGAAACAAATCAGGAGATGCTAGGATGGTAGTCTTGCTGCAGCTATATTATCACAGAATACCAGCATATAATAGCAGCATGGAGCTGCTATTATATGCTGCTATTCAGGCATTGGTATGCAGGCATTCCATCTTAGTCCTCAGGGGCGCATCTGCATTTTGACCCTTAAACGAGGATAAATGAAAATGTCTATGGGTCACAGCATCAACTTACCATCAGGTGGACTGTGTGCTTGTTTGTCACCCTTATTCCATATATCTATATAAAAAAAGGTTATTTACGTCCCACGGTTGGGCACAGGCCTCTTCCATTTATGAAAGGGTTTTAGGGCAAGAGTTGTCCGCCGCGCTGCCCCAATGCGTGTTGGTGGACATCACATGTCTTAGAAATTATTATATTATATTATTTTTAATTTGTCAGATATACAGGTTTACTCACGATATTTCCCTTGACCGCCGAGCTCGAGGTAAATCAGCACTTAAAATTTCAATTAACAATATCATTGGTACCGACTGAGATCGAACCCGGGTTGCTCTCGTAAAATTTACGGCTAGCCTCTGAGCTACTACGGCTCATTTGAAAAGAAACAGTAAAAAAATCTATAAACAAATCAATTTACAGCAAGAAAGACATTTTATTTTATTATACTAAGCTTCGCAAGATTCGATTTTCAAACAAAAACAACTTGAATTAAGTCATCCTTATGCTACAGTTGGTGTAAGGAGGTAACAAACAGTTAAGCCGCAGTACATTTAAAACTTATACCTGTAACATAAATTCGATTTTGCTTTATTTGAAGCATATAAGTAAAAAGCGGGGCGCAGGCCTAAAATGCAAATGGCGTTAGTATAAAATGGCGGACGCGTACCCAGCTGACGCAGTGCAAGCCGGCGAACGCTCCTGCTTCCCGCCAAAACTCCTGTCAAGCTAGTGTTGCCACTCGAGAAAAATTTCTTTTTTAGGAAAACAAAATGAGTGCGCTCTTACTCCTCGCTCTATTCGCCCTAGCGGCTTATAAATTTTTCTCACGCAAAACGATTGCGTGGAAAAAGACTAGTAAATACGGGGATACTAAAATGGCGGAATTAAAACAGGCGCCGGGGCCGATAGCTTTGCCTATAATAGGTAGCCTGCACCTTTTGGGCAAGCGTGAGTCCCCGTTCCAAGCGTTCACTGATCTGGCTAAGAGCTACGGGGATATATTCAGTATAACGTTAGGTAGTACCCAGTGCTTAGTTGTGAACAATCTTGAGTTGATAAGAGAGGTCCTGAATCAAAACGGAAAATTTTTCGGCGGTCGACCTGACTTCCTGAGATTCCACAAGCTTTTCGCCGGCGACAGAAATAATTGTAAGTACTTTAACCATTTATTTTTTATTATAGAAATTTCAAAAAAGGAACACTAATTTTAAGCATTTCTTTTTAAATATGCCCACTATGTAATTATTGATTTCTTTTTTATAGTTTTAAAAAGAAGAAAAATAATTTTGGTTTAATTTAGAAGAAAAATAAACGCATACATATTCAGAAAACATTTTTACAAAACTAAAAAGTCTTCAATTTAAAGCTAATGATATAAAGTCACTTACCAAGTACAAAAACGCGATGATCTTGAATAAAAAAAAAGTTTTTAATTCACAATCACAGGCCGTACAGTTACTGTAGAGAACAAAAAGTGGATGCTACTGTTTTAAAAAGTAAATATGTCATTGTACAGGACGTTTGATTTAATAAGTATAAAAAAATATCATTGAGTAAAGCTTAAAGATAAATTTGTTTTATAAGTCATATTAATTGTTAAATAAACGTTGTAATTTAATCACAGAAGACATTAATTCTTTTATCTACCTTTTTTTTTTCAATATCAACATCATTTAAACAAACACAGATAGCCTCAGCAGGGTCTAGACTTAAAGTGAACCTGTAAACGCTAGAAAGAGAACATATCCCATCACGCCCCCTCCGTATTAACCTACACGCCATACGATGTTTGTTTATTTCCAAACAAACAATCACTAATGATAGATATAGAACCCATGATAGAGAACCATTACCAGACCATTTTTTACGGCGATTAAAACACTTGAAAACTTTTACCTAATAATCTTTAAAGTCCGTTATAATTTTATTTTATTATAAGTATTTTACTGTGTTTTTTTTTTTTATTAAAAATGGGCTCACTCTTGACCAGAGGGCAAAGTAGTAATAATAATAGTCTATCAACCCATTTCGTCCCGTGGGTGACGTAAGAGACGACTGAAATAACAGAAAAATTCTATGGCTTTCTATAGATGACGGTACATCCATCTTGAGTCAGATAATAGTAATATAGCTATAATGGCGACGGCAACAGCCTCGAAGTTGTTCACGTCTGCTCCTGAGATCTTCAATCCAATGCCAAGCGCTACAATTAAAACCATCCCCACAACGCGAGAAATGTATGGCAAGCTGTCGACTTTTGCGAATTGATGCAGAAAAAGAAAAAATAAACTCAATATCATTCTTTTATTCAGGATTATAATCGACGGTTATATATCGATTTTGATGGTTTTTAAAACACGCTAATTTATCTGAATATTTTACCCTTAAATGGGCTTTTGAGTTGACGAAGCATCCTGTATTGCATGACCTAATAACTTAGAGTTTACCCTTGCAAACTGAATACCTCAATTAATGAACGTTAAGATATAATATTGAGCGTCTGGTCCCAGTCATAAGCGGAGCGGTTTAAAAAATTTAGAGTCTTTATATCTATATTTTATCAGGTAGCGCTGCGTGCTTATTGGTTTTGTATTGCTTCCTGAGCGACTATGAACGATTAATCGTATATTTTAGAAACATATTTTATGGATAAATATTGAGATGCAAAAAAAGTTATTTTAACAACCCTTTCCCAACATAAGCAATAACATTATAAATTAAAAAATGGTTGTCGAATTTCACATTCATTCACAAACATTCTCTAAAATCCAATATATTGATGCTATGAGTAACTGTACTGCAATAATAGCGATTATTTTAAGAATCCATCATATGAAAAAGTAAATAGGTAAACGTACGTAAATACCCGCTTTCCGCTTATAGCTTAAACCACGCTATATTGTAACTTAACACCCTCCTATTGCACATAAAATTATTACGCACAGGCGCCTTCTTAAGTTGCATTAAACTCTTTTTCACGTAACTCGATATCTAGGCAACTAAAACTAAGCCTACTTATAAAAAATCTAGACTCGACAATAATGCTTTAGGTAAAACCTTGAAATTGTTGTTTTCGTTTGTTATTATATTAAATACTCGTAATATGGGTTACGATAAGACTACTATAAAGAGTTTCATCACCACTTAACACCATGTGGGATTGAAGTAAAGCATTGGCTTTTTTTATTGGATAAGGATGAGAAACGAGCACGCAGTCCACCTGATGGTAAGTGGTTGCTGCGGCCCATAGACATGTACATCGATCCTCGATTACGAATCGAAATGCAGATGCGTTGTCACCCTTGAAGACTAAGATGGAATGCCTGTTTTTCAGTAAAAGGGTCTCCGGTTCTCTACACTCACCATACGAAACACAGCAGTGTTAAGCTGCTATTTTACGCTGGTATTCTGTTAGAGCGTGGTCCTTCCCTAGTCGAGCCGACTCATTCGTGCTGCAACTATACAATTAAAATAGCTGCAGTATGGCTCTACCACGTTTAAACGTAAAACGTGTGGTACTTGTGAATTGTGACGATTAAGGAAAAACATCCATATAACGACGGAGATCCACGCCCAGAAGTGGTCATTTTCGAACTAATTATATTTACGGGAACACTACACATTGAATAAAACTATTTTACCACGTTTTTATTAGGTCACTTTCTTGTCGTTCCGGTTGGAATTTCATAATTGATTTTAAACTAACTTCCCGATGAGCTGGAAACTTGAAATTCGGATGACAATGCAATAATATGATAAAACGGATTTACGGATTTTATCGCGTTTAATTTACTTTTTAGCTTATATTTTTCTTCATTTAAATATTATTCAGGATCATTTCAAATAAAATTATAAAATTATAATACATATATTTTCTAATTTAAAAAAAATGTACCTACCTAAATTATCACTATAACTTTTTTAATTTTTATCTAACAAAATTAATTTCCCGCCAAAGATCAATTTTGATAGCATTTTGTTTTTCTTTTTTTTTGTTTGTTGTTTATATTTTTTTCCCATACACAATGTGTTTTATTGCTAGCATTAAACCATAACCATGAGTAATTTGTTGCATTTTAATTCGTCGGAGGTAAATAAATGTGGAGGTACTTTTTCTCTTGGCAACACGCTCTGATTGTCTTGTAGTTAACATGTTATTACTTGATACGATTGATTTTTAATTCCCGTTTTGGGTCCTGGGACAGTCCCCTTCGCGACCATGGGTGCTTTGGGAGACTGTCCCCGAAGTAAATTAAACGCGATAATATCCGTAAAAATAGTTTTATTGAAACGAGAATCGACTTTCGACCTCAAGGCAAAGCGTAATATTCTCTCGTAATTCTACACCTAGTGCACGCTGTTTATTTTATTTCCTATTTGATAAGTCAGCTAGTGATCATATGACCCCACGAGGTTACGACTATTTCCAATGTTTTTCTACTTGACACACATTTTTAATTCGCATGTTTCAGATGCGTGCTAGTGTTGCGTATACGTTCTGTTTTAATATCGATAACCTTGAAAGTTATTATAGTTTTAGTTTTTTATATAGAATATTGGTGACAAACGAGCAAACAGTACACCTGATGATAAGTGGATGCTGTGGCCTATATTTATCTTCCGTTAAGAATCATAATGCAGATGCCTTGTCACCCCTAAGGACAACATGGAATGCCTCGTATCTAGTAAAAAGGGTCTGCGGTTCTCTACACACACCATACAAAACACAGCAGTATTAAGCTGCTATTTTACGCCGGTATTCTGTGAGAGCGTGGTCCTTCCCTGATCGAGCCGACCCATTCGTGCTACAACCATAATTTACATTGTTGCAGCGTGGCTCTATCGCGCTTATTTATAGTTAATTTGCAGTGTTGTCTCCTATAGCATAGGGATAGTGGATTCTCTGACACTGCCACTACACGGTAAAATATTGAATTGTTTTTATCATAACTCAGCTTACCATTTTAAACTCAGCAGTTCAATTTTTATCGATATCGACAATACCGGCCTGCACATTATCATTACACGCACACTGCTCATTCACAAAAGTTTGTTTTGTTTTGCAAGCTTGCGAATGCTTGGCATTGGACGATTCGAACCGCGACTCTTATGTAAAAGTACAGGCTTGTTTTATATATTAATAACATTAATTTTATCCTATATTGACCAGCTGTCGTGACCGAAATTGTATATGGAGGACTTTATAATATTATAATTATATCATTTTACGAGTATGACTTTTATTAACTTAATTTATACTGTCACTTATCCCGTGAAGTCACTCAGGCTCCGACAGCACAATAGACATACCGACTTTTTTATAATTGGTAGTTATAGCATAAATATTCGATTCGACCAAGAAAGGACCACTCTTTCACAGAATACCAGCGTAAAATAACCAGCTTAATGCTGCTGTGTTTCGTATAGTGAGTGTAGAGAACCGAAGACCCTTTTTACTGGAAAAGAGCCATTCCATCTTAGTCCTCAGGGGTGACAATGCATCTGCATTCAGGTGGCATTAAAATAAAATGAAAAATACAACATAATCGGTGGCAGCTTATATTTTTCTTAATTTAAATATTATTCAGGATCATTTCAAATAAAATTATAAAATTATAATACATATATTTTCTAATTTAAAAAAATGTACCTACCTAAATTATAACTTTTTTAATTTTTATCTAACAAAATTAATTTCCCGCCAAAGATCAATTTTGATAGTATTTTGTTTTTGTTTTTTTTTTTGTTTGCTGTTTTTATTTTTTTCCCATACACAATGTGTTTTATTGCCAGCATTAAACCATAACCATAAGTAAGTTGTTGCATTTTAATTCGTCGGAGGTAAATAAATGTGGAGGTACTTTTTCTCTTGGCAACACACTCTGATTGTCTTGTAGTTAACTTGTTATTACTTGATACATTTTCAATTTCTTTCGCTGTTTATTCCTGTTTCTTACGTGTGTTACATCACATTGCGTGAACTTATTGGACCGCGATCCGTTTTTGCACGGTTCCCAGATTCATTATTGTTGTGTTCACTCGCTAGAACTATGCCAATGCTACTATAATGATAGAACAAGTAATCAAGTAACTAGTAAAATTCATTACCTTAGCAGAGTTATTATTACTTTTTTATAGATTAAATGAACGAGCATACAGTCAAGCTTATGGTACTGCAAGGTTTAACTTACATTATTAATTACATTAGGAATCAAAATATGTAAAGATGGATTGTAACCTCAGCAGGGCTAGCATGGACAGGAGACAATTTTATCCCCGGGGAAAGGAGAAAATGTTTATCCCCCCGCTTAGTTTTATCCACCCGTCGAGCATGGGCACACCGGTGGATATAATATCCACAGTAGATAAAATGGGAGATAGACTTACACTTAGATAGATTTTTTTAATTTAAACCCACGTCCAATGAACTAGGATAGAATTGTCTCTTTCAAATGTCATAAAAGCATATTTTTTTTATCTTTCATTTGGTTCCATGCTACGGACGGGGGATATATATTATTATTATATATATTATTATTATATATATTATTATTATTATATATACTCGTTATATCAAACGGGGATATACTTCTCCCCGTTGCCGTGCTTTGGCATAGGGACAAGATAATTTTATCTCTTGTCAGTGGATATAATCGGGGCTAAAATTTTTGTCCCCAGCCCATGCTAGGAGTCCTGGGGAGTAAGACAAAATGTAACGTTCTATGGCTCGTCGTTCTGATCATCTTCATTCATCGTATGATACACAGCAGCGTAAAGAATCTATTTTTACGCTATTATTCTGCGAGAAAGTGGCCCTTTCTCAACCTAGATTACCTAGATATTCATACTGCAGCCTTAATGCCGTAACAGCGTGGAACTATCATGTATAAAATGATAGTAAAAAAATTTACACAATGTTTCGGTTAAAACGTTAATTTATAAATTATGTTTTTATTATTCTAAGCCTTTTACAACATCTAGCCGAGCCATGTAAGCTCAGAGAATATACTCTTGCCGTAATTTTACAATACTTTTAAGTGCTAATTTAACACGTACTCGGCAGTGAAGGAAAACATCGTGAGAATACCCTCTCAGAAATGAGATTAAGGCCTCAGTTGTCCAGCTGTGGAACATATATAGGCTATAACTTTACTAACTTTAGAAAAATCTATAATACAATGTTTTTTTATAGGATAGTGTGACAAACAAACACAGAGTCCACCTGATGGTAAGTGGTTGGTGTGGCCCATAGACATCTACATCTATCCTCGTTTGCGAATCAAAATGCAGATGCGTTGTCACCCGTGAGGACTAAGATGGAATGCCTTTTTTCCAGTAAAAAGGGTCTCCGGTTCTCGACACTCACCATACGAAACACAGCAGTGTTAAGCTGCTATTTTACGTTGGTATTCTGTGAGAGCGTGGTCCTTCCCCGGTCGAGCCGAACCATTCGTGCTACTACTATACTACTAATATAGCTGCAGCATGGCTCTACCACGTGTTGTTTACATTTTAATGGTAGAATTTAATATAGATGATACTGCTGCATATTAAATTATTATTTTCTTTGTCCACAGCATTAGCACTCTGCGATTGGTCGAATCTGCAGCTGCGTCGTCGTAACTTAGCACGTCGCCATTGCGGCCCCAAGCAGCACACCGACAACTTCTCCCGCATCGGATCTGTGGCCACATTCGAATCTATAGAATTGATCCAAACGCTCAAGCACATTACGAGAACCACGGACGCGAGCATTAACCTGAAACCACTCCTCATGATGACAGCTATGAACATGTTTAGCAACTACATGTGCAACGTCCGTTTTGACACCGAAAACGACCAGGAATTCAAGAAAATCGTGGACCATTTCGACGAGATATTCTGGGAGATCAATCAGGGATACGCGGTCGACTTTCTACCGTGGTTGGCGCCATTCTACAAGAAACATATGGAGAAGCTGTCTAACTGGTCACAGGAAATCCGTTCCTTCATTTTATCAAGAATTGTTGAACAGAGGGAGACAAATTTAGATACAGAAGGCCCCGAGAAAGACTTCTTGGATGGTCTACTAAGAGTGCTACATGACGATCCAACTGTTGATAGAAACACAATTATTTTCATGTTAGAAGATTTCTTAGGCGGTCACTCTTCAATTGGTAACTTAGTTATGTTGTGTCTTGCAGCTGTAGCTAGAGACGCTGATGTCGGAAAGAAGATTAAAGCTGAAATTGATGGCTTAACTAAAGGAAAACGAGCAGTCTCACTAACAGACAGGAGCTGTCTACCTTACACTGAGGCCACTGTCCTAGAATGTTTACGGTATGCCTCGTCTCCTATCGTACCGCATGTTGCAACCGAGAATGCCGCTGTAGCCGGATACGGCGTTGAAAAAGGAACGATAGTCTTCATAAATAATTACGAATTGAACAAATCTGACAAATATTGGGATCAGCCAGACAAATTTGATCCAAGCCGCTTTTTGGAGCGAAGCAAAATCCGCGTGAGGCGAAACTCCCAATGCGACTCAGGTATGGAATCAGACAGCGAGCGATCTGGCCCATTAAATAAAGCTTTAGAAACAGAGAAGGAAGTTGTTACAGTCAAAAAGAACATCCCGCATTTCCTGCCATTCAGTATTGGAAAGCGAACGTGTATAGGTCAAACTTTGGTGACGACAATGAGCTTCGTGATGTTTGCGAATATCATCCAAGAGTTCGATATAGCAGCTGAAAATTTGGAGGATCTGAGACAAAAACCGGCATGCGTCGCGCTTCCAAAGGACACATTTAACCTATACCTCTTACCGAGAAAGCATTAGACTCACGTATTTATTACTTGTAGATAATCACTCAGGGTGGCCATACGAACATAATTTCTACCATTACTCTTTTAGTATGTTTTTGTTACATCAAAAATATTTTTTCTTTTGCTTCTTACAGACTTTAAAAGTAAAAAATATCTTAATTTGCTCTTAAACCAGCTAAATATGATTTTGTAAACTAATAAACTTTGTGTACTGGGCAAACACAATTTGACCGTATGGCCACGGAGACTCGCTCAAAATATTATTTATTATCGAAATAATCGATATTGTAGTTGATACGATGTTGCCTTCCTTCTTGATCCGATTAATATGATAAAATAGAATTTAATGTTAAATAGTAGTTTAGAAATTTAAAACGACTGCATATTGTTTAGTGGATATCGATGTATTTTTATTATTTTTTATTTTTGTTTTTTGAAGTGAAACTTTTTTTATCGACGTAGTGGAAAAATTTTGTAAGAAATTTAAAAAAAAAACGTCACGTTTTCTTGTAACATTTCAGCGCCGGGGCTGCATTATACTATTATTTAACCGACTTATGTGAAATATAAAATACATATAATGTGAGATATGTCGTAAAAAAGTTTCATTTCGTACGTGTGTAAGCAAATACACGCGCAATTTTTATTTTAAGCCCATGCTGGCAAGGACTTATGTTTCATACATAAATTAGATTATTTATGGTCACACTCATTTTATGATTTTATTCTGATTTTTTTATAGGTAGGTATAGGTAGGAAATTTTAGACTGTAAAATTATTTTATGCCAGCGAATAATTATATCGTTTATAATACTTCCTAACTATACCTTCTAAAATTCGTAATACATATTTTATATTTGTTTCTTCAAAAACTATAATGAAAAAAAAACTAAAACGAATAACTTAACTAACATAATATAGTCCTACTCCCCGTGGTATCGTGCCAAGAACGCTGGCTGCATTACCTCGCTGAATGCCTTTGTAATTAGCCTTTGAGCGAGAGAGGACTAGCCATCTTATCACCAGCAGCGACGACCAGTCGCGGATACAGTTCGTTTAGGAACTTCACCGCTCGTGGACCCCACGGGCCGATAGTCTCTACAGCAAATGGCACGAATATGTAGTTATCTCTCAGAGACTCATATTTGCGCCACTGATATAGTTCAGCTTCCTCTGATTTTGTTTCTTTGAAGAGGAAATTAGATGTAACTTATTTTTATATGAAAAGGTAACTGAGGCATTTAAAAAAGCATTTATGTTAAAAGTTCCTAACTCGTTTATTTTAGTGAACGTACATTTATACTGTATCGTATTATCAATATTATTTAGACTTCTGGTACTGGACAAAGCTGCCATAAATTCTGCCAGTGACCATATTACGAAAGAATTGCCATCTTATTGCCCAAAGAAAATACTTTTAAATGTTGTTTTGTTAATTAAATTACTAACTCATCCACTTTACCAACATGTTAATGCAAATATCTTATTAAAAATTAAAATATTTGGTCGTAAATTTGACAACAAGCTACCTCGGAAATTGTTGAAGGCTTTTTTTAAGATCTTAAAAATTCTTTAATACTTTTGAATTTAATCTTCTAAATCTTTAAACATTTATTTCCGGTATATAATTGTAATTATATAGTTTTTAACTGTCAAAATTATGTCAAGGCCGTTTATAAAGTAAATACCTATTCTTAATTATTGACGAATTGTACTTTTGATAATTAAAATATGTATTATAAATTTAGTGGTTAGTTAAATAGGGAATCAATGTGATTAGTAGACTGCGTATTAGAAACTGAAATTATAGTATTTGCAATTTATAACTTGTCTATTTTTTTTCAATTTAAATATCATCATAGCCACACCTATGTATACGGTTATGTTGCAGTAACCGGCCAAATTTACAGAGAAGGTTCAGAATACGAGTAAGTAATAAATACAAATGGTAAAATAAAAACATAACTAAATAAATCTCAATAATTCTGTCCTTTTTATCTTTTAAATTCATAATGCGTGGTAATGCATTATTTACACTGAGTTTACTGCGCACGCACACATTCGGAAGGGTCGATCGATAGGCAAAAACGTTGTTGCCCATAAATCACATTCCATTTGGGATAATTTCAAATAAAATTTGAGCCTTATTTACTCGTATTTACAAAAAACTGCAATATCGGTACATCATTTTTTTATATACTTATTTGTACTTAAATTTAAAATTTGGCCACTCTTTGGAGAACAAACCTCTTTATCGCCCTCCATACGCTGCTGATCAATAGTGATTCTTAAAGGGTATGGTATGGAGTCTAAAATATTTCGCCGCGTACCGACTGTTGCTTAACTGTGACTGTTTTCAAATCAGCCTTTAACGTACCAAAACTGGGAAACATTTTCGCCATTTGAAAAACGACCTACATTGATTAAGAAACGTAACCTTCACACTAAGATTTCCTCCTGTATGGGGGCAGTGTACACACATAAATTGCAGAAGGATAAACATCCAGACCCGGAACAATTAATTGTATGCCATATAAATACTTGTCTCGGGCCCTTAGCGCTGCAACTGAATTGCTAAACCACTGCGCCACAGAGCCGTGAAATTCCACGTGACGTGTTGCTAATGATGGATACTGCAGCCCATTATGCGAAGAATTATAAAAAATGTCATGGCGGCTGTACACGCTCGTCGAGACACCACGTGACAGGCCGAGTACGAGTGTGCCCTCGTTTGCTCTCGGAAGCGTGTCGGTATTTTGCTTTCGAGTCAAAGGGTCTTGTGAGTATCCTTAAGAAAACGAGACCGCGCCTGTACACATGTACTGTAGGGTTCAATATCGTTAAATAAATAAAAATATAGGTAGTTATATGGTTTTGTAACGGTGAATAGAAACCATCCACTTCCACATTTATCTTCGTCAAGGCTTATGAATTTTCTTTTAATGATAAATGTGTAAAAAATTATAATAACTTATGACACAAAGGCAAAACGCAGCAAAAGTTTCATCAGGTCGTAGGTCCATCGCAGCGAGCATCCGGAGTTCAAGTGATACAACGAGTGTGTACATGGTGTGTTCTCGCGTCGAGCCTCTACGCGACGAGAGGCACGCGAGGCGACGAGACGAGCGTGTACAGCCGCCATCACAGGAGCGTGGTCAACTATAAGAAACAAGATAGAATTCCTTACAGTCGCACGCTGCGCTGGTAGCAATCATCCTGTCGTACAAAATCGTTTAAGCTTGCTTGAACCGTAAGCATAGAAAAACACAAGTGGTAAAATAAAAAAAATTGTACAACCGACTTCAATGTAAATTATTAGGGATAACTCAAAACCTAATGGTCAGGCCTTGATCAATTTTTTTATTTGACAGCACCAGCTTTCAAATATAAAAGGAATCATCGAAATCGGTTCACCGAGAAAAAAGTTATGAGATAACACACATAAAAAGCATACAGTCGAATTGAGTACCTCCTCCTTTTGAAAGTCGCTTGAAAAATTAAAAAAACACCTTCGAAATAAAACACTGCTGCATGATATGTGAATATTCATACACATTTATCGACAAATCGTCTTGCAGTCGTCGTTACTCTAGCGCTCACTTGACCTGCATACAAATAATTCGATATTTTAATTGTTGATAACTTTTTTTTTGCATAAGAACATAGTAATGACTCTAAGTTCCATCTTTTAAAAAAAATTGTCTTTCGCCTGCCCTATACTCTTTGGCTTGACCATAGTTCTGACTAAGTAGAGTTTTGGCGGGAAGTTGTACGGCGGCGGTTTGCTGCCCCTGTATTATTGTTTAAATAATGGTTTGAAGTGGACTTTGATATGTAAAAGGGGTGCGATTTTGTGTATTAAGTGTCTGCGCATGTGAACTATTAGTGGAAACTGTGAAACAAGTGCTCTGATGGTGATGTGATTCTCAAAATAAGGTGTCTGTCTGCTTAGGTGCCTTGAGATACCATCGCCAACCGTCAGCTGTCTGCTGGCTCAAGTTGCCGTCAAAATCTCCCAAGGGCTGCACAATGTGACGCATCAACATATTGTGAAGCAGTATACTATGAATGATAATTATTATAATACCTAGTCAGGTCATAAGTATTGTCACACAGTAAAAACTTTTCTTTTAGAATGCTGGCCACAAAAAAGTTTATTGAATTCGAATTTCGAATTGTTCCTGAAAATAAAACTGTATACTTTTTAGAATTTTACTCATTTTTAAATATGGAGTGGACGCTTAAAGAAGACCGTGTTGCAGTTATTGCGTTGCATCGTTGCGGTTACGCGCCAAGTCAAATTTTTGACATACTGAAAAATTTGAATATAACCAAAAGATTCGTTTATCGTACCATCAAACGATACAATGAAGACTCTAGTGTAGATGACAGGTCAAGAAGTGGTCGCCCTCGGTCTGTTAGGACTCCAGCAATGATAAAAGCTGTGAAGGCGCGAATTCAAAGAAATCCCAAACGTAAGCAGAAACTGTTGGCCCTTCAGATGGGGTTAAGTAGAACCACGGTGAAAAGGCTATTAAATGAAGACTTAGGGCTTCGGACATATCGAAGAAAAACAGGACATCGTTTGAATGCTCGTCTAATGGACCTGAGACTGAAGAGATGCCGCGCTTTGTTGAAGCGGTACGCGGGAAAAAAATATCGGGAAATTCTTTTTTCGGATGAAAAATAATTTACCGTAGAAGAGAGTTACAACAAACAAAATGATAAGGTGTACGCACACAGTAGTGAAGAAGCGAGTAACCGTATTCCGCGTGTCCAACGAGGTAATTTTCCATCCTCGCTCATGGTATGGTTGGGAGTTTCTTATTGGGGCTTAACAGAGGTACATTTTTGTGAGAAAGGTGTAAAAACGAATGCAGTTGTGTATCAAAATACAGTCCTGACGAACCTTGTGGAACCTGTTTCTCATACCATGTTCAATAACAGGCACTGGGTATTCTAACAAGATTCGGCGCCAGCTCATAAAGCGAAGAGCACACAAGACTGGCTGGC